CGTGTATGTTTGTCCAACAGTATACTGAGTAGAAGCAGTTAAGTCAAAATCAGTATATCCAGAACTTATTTTCTGTGAGTATGATGTTTGATAAACAGAAATTTCTAAAAATTCATTATTCCTATATCAATATATAAATAAAAATAAAAATATATAGAGTAAAACAGGGTAAACTGAAATAGTTGGTAGAATGAAATAGTTATGACAAGGTTTTTTCTTTTGCTCTTAATTATTGGATAATTTTTTTGCAAATATTTTTAAATCACCTTGTAGAGAATAATTTTCTGAGCAAGATGATATCAAATTTTATTTTTGATAAAAAAAATTTGTTATAAATTTGTTATAAGTTTTCCTATGCGTAATAAGATTTTTTTTTAATTATTTTGAAGAATGAACTTGAAACTCTTGGAAGTTGAGTTCGATATCATTGAACTTAAAAACTTTTTTGGTATAACTTTTTACGTTGAATAAAAATCTTTTTTTCAAAATTAAATTTGCTATTTAGGAAAAAAGTAAAAAACAGAAAAGGAGAATTGTGAGGTTGAATGAAACAATTGGCAGTGGTTCAAGCAGAACCACTTTTCCAAAAAACTTGAATCAGTTTTGGTAGATATGCTCATTAAATTTTCGGATTGGGGCTTTGGTAGAACTTACAATAACGCCATCACACTAGTTACCAACTATTTGCAATACCAAAGTCTATCTCATTTATTTCCTAATGGTACACCAGGAAAAGATCGGTATAACCTTTTCATAAACTGATAGATTCATGGGTTGAACATCAGAACCATAGGCAATATTCACTCAGAGCCGCTTCTTGCACGTAAGAATTAGTAGCAAAGCATTTCAACACACTGCAAAGAGAATTTAATTTAGCAGGTATCAAGGTAAACACTCCATACCATTTATGGAATTTTGATGAAATTGGCTTCTCTGGTGATCAAGGTAAGCAAAATATACTCTGCCAGCGTGGTGCAAAAGCAACCATTGAAATTGGTTGGAAATTATTCGTCACATATTCGCCAGCCACTAGATATTTGTATTTTTTGCCATGTCAAAAGAATTTGGCGCAAGTTACTTCAACAGTAATATTCAGAGACAAAGTTCAGCAACTTATTAAAAAAATATTTTAGTCACCTGCAAAAAAAACTTTTTAGCTCTGATGTAGTTTTTACACATACCCAAATAGTCACTGGGTTTCAAAATACTGGTTTGTTTCCACTCGACATCAATAAAATCGATCAGTCAAAGTTAAAAATTCCTAATAAGTTTGAAACACTGTCATCTGAACCTGAGCCTTCATCATTTCAATAACCAGAACCTATGATAGTACAATCACCAATACTAGCATCAGGATCTCCTGATGAGTATATACACTACTTCAGCCACTACCCACTGAATCTACACCAACATCTAGCATCAGCATATGTCACATAGCAACAGCTCTAAAGTCACCTAAAAAGTCACCCTGTCTGCAAACAACCTTGAATATTGTAGTAACTCCAGCTATTCAGAAGGAAATTCAAAAAAAGATTGAAAAACAACTGCAATCAGCCCAATCAATTGCAGCAACATCACAACAAATGTTTCATATCCAACATGTTGATACAAAAAAAAAGAAAAAATGTAGATATGCCAAGATACAAAGAGGAGTGTCTCATCACACCTGAAATACTTGAAAGGTTGTAAGATGCTGAGAGAAAAAAAGCAGCAAAACAAGCTAAAAAGCAACTTAAGATTAGATGAGTTTTATTGCACCAAAAAGTTCCGCACACCTGAAAACTCAACTCAACCTCTAGTACCTTGAAATATATATATATATATATATATATATATATATATATATATATATATATATATATATATATATATATATGTATGTATGTATGTATGTATGTATGTATATATATATATATATATATATATATATATATATATATATATATATATATATATATATATATATATATATATATTCTATTATCTCCTAATGAGGGTACAGCTTTAAAACTCAGTTTTATGGTTCTGAGGACGGCTGGTAGTCAGGTTTCCCGAACTCTGCGATAGCTCTCAAAGAGGCTGATTTCATCAACAGCTGAAAAATATCAAAGTACTAACAGTGCCATGTTGCGCATGGATGATATCCCTGTTTGTACTTTTGGTGTGAATTGCCAAGGCCACATTAGAGCCCTTTGTTACAGCTTAGGGTTTATTTATAGTAACGAGGCAACTGCTTGGGCTATTAAACAGTGTACTGAGTTCTATCTATGTTTCAAGTCAAGTTCTTTAACAAATTTAAAAATGAGTAAAGCAACAAAAACTATAAAACACAAAAAACCAATGTCATGACCAAGTTCACTAAATCATTCATTCACTAATAGTGGTCTTGGAAGTAACTTTTCTTCTGTTGTGTTTTATCTCTCGCAAAGTTCACCAGACCTACTAGCACTTTGAGACTAATTTGAGTTCGCTATCACATCTTGTGATTTTAGTGTTGATGGTTATCTTCCTTTAATTCGTAAAGACTCCAATATGCTTGGCCTGGGCATTAACTTCATAAGAATTCACTCATTTGCCGGAAAACTAGGTTTGAATCCACAGACTACTCTTTAATGTGTTTTCATTTACCACCATTTCACTCTATAACCTTTCTCTTTGCTCTATATTGCTCTCCTTCATTCACTGCACTCTTCTTGATGTTATTTCTGACCATATTGACCAAGCCCTCTCTCTTTATCCATCAGCCAATATTGTTCTTATCAGTGACTTTGAATGGCTGAATTTAGTGTCAGTGACTCGGCAGGCAACTTTTGTCTTTCTCAATCCCTAACTAAAATAGTCAACTTTCCAACTCGCTTTCCCTATCATCAAACATCTTACAACTACCTTAAAGCTGACTGGGACTCTTTTCCGTGATTTTCTTTGTGATGGCCCTTGTGGAGAAATCTTTTCGTCTTTCTGTTGATAAATGTGCTTTTTACATAACTTCATGGATTCAGATTGGCATGGAATCCTCTCAATTACTCCAGGTCAAGCCTCACTCTTCTCTATGGTTTTCCTCACATTGTGCTGCTGCAATTGCCAATCAAAACCATTATCTCCATATCTATCAGCAAAACAATTCTCCTGAAAACAGACGTCTTTTTATTACTGCTTGGAATCATTGTAAAAAGGTTTTGTCTAATACCAAAGCGTGCTATTCTCAGGTCATGAAATCTCGTATTTCATCACAAAAATTAGGCTCTTGTGAATTCTGAAAAATCTTTAATAGTATCAATAATAAGAGCAAATCTGCAATTCCACCTCTCTTGCATGGTTCAGACTTTGTCTTTAGGTGAGTCACCTCACCTTAAGACAAAGCTGAATTGTTTGCTAAGAACTTTTCATCAATATCATCTCTTGATTCCACTAGTTGTGTTCTGCCTGATATAGCCATCAAACAGGTTGATCCATTGCTTGATATTTGTATCACTCCAGTTTCTGTATCTAAAGTGATTTCCTGTTAGACTCTTCTACAGCGTATGGTCCATACAATATACCTGTTAAAGTATTGCAGAAATGTTCTCAGAGTCTTATCCCTATCTGTTATCCCTATTCTGCATCTGTTATACCTATTTTAAAAAATTCTGGAGAACGATCTGATTCATCTACCTACCGTCCCGATAGTCTTCTTTCTATCATAAGCAAGTTTTTTGAATCTTTAATTAACACTTAATCTCTCATCTTAAATCTAATAACTTACTTTCTGATCATCAGTATGGATTTCAATCTTCTCGCTCTATGGCTGATTTGCTAACAGTAATAACCAATGGGTTTTATCGTGCATTAGATAAAGATGGAGAGATTGAGGCCATCACTTTTGACATTTCTAAAGCGTTTGATAAAGTTTGGCATGCTGGTCTTCTCCATAAGTTTTCTTCTTACGGTGTATCTGGAAACATCATTAAGATAATTGAATCTTTCCTTTCCAATCGTAGTTTAAAAGTTGTCCTCAATGGACAGCACTCTTCTTCTTATTCTGTAACCTCAGAGGTTCCTCAAGGTTCAATCCTTGACCCTATACTCTTTTTAATTTACATGAACAAACTTCCAGATATTCTCACATCTAAGGTGGCATTGTTTGCTGATGATACTACTATTTATTCTTGTCATGTTAAGATGCCAACACTCTCTGATTGCTTGGAAGAGGCATTTGAGCTTGAAAAGGATCTCACTTCTGCTACAGTGAGCTTGAAAAGGATCTCACTTCTGCTACAGGCTCAGAGTGGTTTGTGAGTTTTAATTCAGATAAAACTCCATTTTTTTCAGCCAATTATTATCACAATAATTTAGACCTTCCTATATTTATGAATGGTATTGTACTTGATGAGTCATCTACCCTTCATCTTCTAGGATTACTTCTGATCTTTCTTGGAAACCATATATCAAATCCATTGCAAAGTTAGCGTCTGCTAAAGTTGCATCTCTTTATCGAGCTAGACACCTTCTTATTCTGGATTCTATTTTCTATCTCTATAAATCTCTGGATTCTATTTTCTATCTCTCAAATCCGGTCTTGTATGGAATACTGTTGCCATATCTGGGGTAGATCTTCTAATGATGCCCTTTCTATTTTAGACAAGGCGCAAAAACACATTGTAAACATAGTTGGACCTGCTCTTGCAGCCAACCATTTAACAATTTTTTTAACCATTATCACATCATCATAATATTGCTTCTCTTTCTTTTTTCTACAAATACTATAATGGGCACTGCTCTAAAGAGCTAGCGTCTCTTATACCGTCTACTAAAATTCAAACTTGTGTTACTCCTCATTCTATTAAGTCCCAACATTAATTAGTGGTTGCTTGCAGCATTTTTGGAAGCCAAGATGTTTAAAAGAAAAAAAAAAGTTTCTTCATTAGAATCTCCATTTAAGGAGGGTTCAATTAGCTTTTTAAGGTTTAACAACTTTGTAAGATATTTATGTTACTTACTAGTAGTTACCGTAATTACCACTCACTTACCAATTGTTGCTCTAACAGTACTTTTTGCTGCTCTGAAGTTCATTGAACCAGTTACTGATCCACCCAGGTATATAAAATTTGTTTTCAAATATAAGTATCCTAGCGTAGTGTTCCAAACTGCAGCAGTGTCTGAATGAAACATATATAAACTAATTACATATAAGAAAAAAATATTAGTTAAAAACCTTAACAAATTATACAATTCTGTTAAAATGTGTATATTTAGTAAAATAAAAGAGATTAAGATAAGAACTTATATATAAGCTTTAAATTTATAGATTAAAGCATTCCTAGTTTTGGTAACTTTAGGTGGTGAATTATGATCAAAACCTAAAATTGATTTAAACAGAGTTTTCAAAATATTAAAACATTATTATAATTCAAATTTCAAATAAATTGTAATTCCAAATGACTCAAATTTAATATATATATGTATGTATGTATGTATGTATGTATGTATGTATGTATGTATGTATGTATGTATATATATATATATATATATATATATATATATATATATATATATATATATATATCAACCCTGGGAATTAGGAAAAATGAGGTCGGCAAAAATTTGCCGACCTTGATCTTTTTGATGTCGGCATCAGGTCGGCAAAAATTATTTGGAACAAAGGTCTGACCATAAAACATAGAAACTGTCGGCAATTTTTTACTGACCTCATACACTTTCAAATAGGTAGTAAGATCGACCCTAATTCCGAGGGTTGATTTTATATATATATATATATATATATATATATATATATATATACATATATATATATATATATATATATATATATATATATATATATATATATATATATATATATATATATATATATATATATATATATATATCTACTATAGCATATTTATATGCGCAATTGCTCACTTTTTTTGCTAGTCTAAATTAAGTGGGATTTTTGAGAAAACGATGAGGGAAAATGAAGAATAATAAATGACCTGAAACCTGATGCCTGAAACAGTTTAATGTCGGCAATTTTTTGCTAACCTTATTTTTCTAAATCAAGGGTTGCATAGTCATAGATTTTTTTTCTAAAACTCTTTGAGCACTTTGAGCATATTCACTTTTATCTTTTGCCTGAGTGTCCATAGACATTTAATTTCAAGCAAACCAAACCAACAACATGTACAACTTTTTATACCATCTGGGCTTGCATCTGAGCTTGCTGCTAGATGATTTTGATTGATACTATTATCTTGGTAACATGTTTTTATGTAATTTTTCCAATTCCCTGATATTGAATTGATTTACTTTTAACATTATTTTTGTAACCTAAAATTTGAGCACATATATGTAGCTTTTTTGTTTTTCACTTCCAAGCCAACATCAAATTTTGCTATGACAGCATGAGTAATAGATGATGATATTGTTCTAACTCTATATGATTTCCAAAATAAACTTTTTGATTGAGATATTGCAACTTCTTTTATAAGTTCTGCTTTAGATAGTGTTATTAAAAACACCTCTGAAAATTTTTCACATTTAAATGCAATTGATTCATTCTCATAAGAACATTCTGAGCTACATGTAATTTTCTCTTCAGTGTAATTTTCATGTAGTTTTCTCTTCAGTGTTTTAGTCCCTTATATTTGTTTTAAAGATGTGCAAGTTACATCTTTTAATCACGCATGCTCTTCCACAATCAATAACAACGCAAATATGTGTTTGCAGCTTTCTCCATAACCGGCTACACACTTGCATTCTGCAGTTAATATACTTCCGTTTTTATATAACATACTCATGGTTCATACTCTTCATTATTTATTTTTGTTTGAGGGACTAAAATTCCTTTTAAATAATAAATAATTTTAGCATCTGATAAGCTGCTAAAAACTAGTGAAGTTACATGATTGGAAGTATAAAGAAAATGTTTTTCTTTTAAGGCTTTAGAGCTGTGAGTGAGAAAATCATAAATTTTAATGTCTGAATAGTTTGTGGTTGGTAATAATTTTATTGCTACTTCTTTTTTTAACAACAACTGTCCCAAGAAAAAAAGAATGCTGTTGGACATTAAAAAAAGTATAATAAAAAAAGAATGAGAAAATTGAAAAAAATAAAAGGATTAAAAATTTTTTAATTTTGAATACTTTAAATATTTATAAACGTTTTTTACAAAAAAAAAAAAACTGCTACAGAACACCCTAAGGTTTGCTAAAAAAAATAATCAGTCAAATTGCATACAAACAAAATTAAAATTAAATTAAAAACAAAGTTTAAAAGTAAATATAAATAACTATATATATTATCCAATAATAGTAAAAACAATAATGGTATATATATATATATATATATATATATATATATATATATATATATATATATATAATATATATATATATATATATATATATATACTTTAATTCAAATATAATATTAATTCACCTGCCCAAGGCCAAAAAGGCCACTACAGACAAGGAGGCTACTTTATTGCGGTAATAACCCTATTTTAACTTTATAACTCCAAAACACTAAAAAAAAAAAAAGGCTGCTGTTCAGAGAAACAAGTTAATAAAAGAAAAAGTTATATATTATATAATTATAATGGTGAATTTATGAAAAAAAAAAATTGTTAGTTGTGATACTAAAAAGTAAGAAATAATTAAAACTGATAAGTAAGAAACAATTAAAGTAAGAAACAATTAAAAAGAAACAAGAAACAATTAAAAAAAGAAATTAAGAAACAATTTAAAAAAATTAAAAAACAATTATAAAAAAAATAAAAAAGTAAGAAACAATTAAAACTGCTTGGTATTTCAGCCATTTGTTATGGTATACATTGTTTGTATACATTGGTTAAAAGGCTGGTACCAACATCAGACAAGAATTTTACGACTAAGCAAACTATTAAAATTTTTCTAACAAAACATTTTTATTCTTTCAAACTAAACAACTAAACTTTTTCTATTTGTATTAAATTAATTTAAATGGCAAATTTACTAATATTTATGTCTATTTTTCATATTTTTATTTTTAAATTAGGTTTAATCACCAGAAAATCTAATATTATTCTGATAATAAGAAGTTAAAATTAGGGTATATGACAATACCATAAATCTGATACAAAACCTGGAATTGAAATATGTTAGAGTTAATTTTATAACCAAGTACGCTATTGAAAATCAAAACTTAACTTTTCCTTATTTTCTAAACATGTAACATCTTTGGTTACACAAAAACATCACAAATTTAGATATATAAATTAATTGATTGACTTCATTTCTTTCTATTTTTAAACTATATACTTTTTGAAACCACAAAAAACCACAAAATTCAAGTAATCATTAATATATCTGGTCTATATAGATTATAGGTCTGGTTTAGAAGAACATCAACAAAAACTTTTTGTAGAACTTGTACCCTTTTATTTTGCATATTTTCTTTAAAAAAAAATAATGAAAAAAATTCAATAATGTTTGAACTTTTTTCCGAAATAGTTTGAAACTGTTCCGGTTCAAACTTTACAAAAAAAAAGGTCATATTGGCAGCCCTATTTATGAGCAGTGTTATAAACTTATTGAAAAATTTTGGCACAAAATTTGTGCCTAAATCTCTAAACCCTGATTTGTAGTAATATGTGATGCTCTAAGCACCTGACATGCAGAGGAAAATGTAGGATGTTCACACACACACACACACACACACACACTGTTTCTCTTGTTTAATGTTTGGTTTGTGTTATAGAGTTATAGAGTTGAGAGAGGGTTATAACCAAAACTAAATAGCCTCCTCGTCTGTAGTGGCCTTCTCGGCCTTGGGGAGGTGAATTAACAAAATATATATATATATATATATATATATATATATATATATATATATATATATATATATATATATATATATATATGTATATATATATATATATATATATATATATATATATATATATATATATATATATATATATATATATATATATATATATATATATATATACACACACACACATACAAAATAAAAAAAAATAAAAGAACCTGAAAAAACCCATCCATAATTTGAGAAAGTTTCTGTTGTAAAGCCACAATGGCTTGCAGTATTTAATATTGGACAGGATATAATTTTACCTAAATTTAATGTTATATTTTTTTTATAAAAATTAAAAAAAGAAAATTGTAAAATAATTGATAGATTCAAAAATAACTTTTTACCGTCAATATCTATATTAACAGAGTCCATGTACATTTGATAACCACCTCTATAAAGGAAAGAGACCTAAAAAAATATAAAAAAAGTTTTAACTAAATATATATATATATATATATGTATATATATATATATATATATATATATATATATATATATATATATATATATATATATATATATATATATATGTATATATATATATATATATATATATATATATATATATATATATATATATATATATATATATATATATATATATATATATATATATATATATATATATATATATATATATATATATATATATATATATATATATATATATATATATATATATATATATATATATATATATATATATATATATATTAGGGCGTAGTGAATATTTTTTTTTTTGAAATTAAAAATTTAAATATTTTTTTCAGATGTCTAAAGAGATTTTTAGATATACTATAAAAAATTTGTTTTTATAACTTCAAAATAAATTACCAAAATGGGGTAAAAGGGGGAATTATTAACAATAAAATATCATAAATTTTCAACACAACATATTTTTGTTAAAATTCGAAATTTGATTTTAGATATTAATCTATTTTAAAACATTAGGTAAAAAAAAAATCAAATTTGACTAGGGTTCTTTTGAATTTTCTAAGGAGGAGGGGCAGTGGCCAGAGGGGAACTTATTGTAAATTTTGAGACAGCCTGAATAACAATGGGTTTTTCGAAACTAACCTCATTTGACAAGTGTATAAAATATCAAAATTTGTTAACCTTTTAACCTTTTGCCTTTTAACCTTTATAACTGAAACTATTAATAAAAAGTAGTACGGCAAAGTCAAAAAAAAAATTTTTTTTATTTTAAAATAATTTTAGGCGGGCCATAGTGATTACAAATAATTTATTTTATATTAGTAACCTTTAAGTCTACTCATATATTCAAATAACAAAAATAAAAAATAAAAAATTGATTTATATCAATCAGTAAAATATCAGTAAATAATCAAATCATATGCATTGTTATTTGGGATCATTGATAAAAGATATCACCTTCTACGAGAAAGGGAAAGATATTCATGTAAGTTCTTACACAATAGTTTTAAGTTTTCAGTTGGATTTCAATAGGGTGAAAGGAAGGTGTTGCTATTAAAAAGAAATATCTAGATAAGAAGGGTAAGTTTGTTTTTACAAAAATCTCTCTATGGATGATCATATTTAGTAGTCACATTCAAAGTATAAAAATTAAAAAACCAACTGTTTTAAATTCTTTTTGTATTGTTATTAGGTGAAAGTTTTCGGTGATGGCAACCTGCTCGAATAAACCCATCTCTTGAGTCCTGTCCATAAAGAGAAGCACAAGTTTTTGTTGTCTGTTTCACAGCCCATTCAATATTTTGTGTGTGGCATGGTATGGAATCAGGAATCATGGGATTATTTTTAAAACCAACAATAGTTTTAATAGTAAAGTTACATGTTTGAATTGGCTATAACACATTATAATTCCAAGAACATAGCTCTGTGAGATTCTTAGCACCAATATTTAAAAAAGAAGTATGAGATCTTTCTCGAACAGTAATGTCTCCTTAGTTGGAACCTTTTCTGATTTGTAGGATACAATCCACTGCAAAATCCCACTCTTCCACTATAGAATTATAAAGCAATACTGTTAGAACAGCTTCACCTTGAGAAAACCAGGCTCCTGATATGATATATTTTTTAACAATATCCCTGGTAACTTAGTTCTGCATTTTTACTAACCTTAAGATTTCTAAAACATGTCTTGGACCTTTTATAAAAGAACACTTTACCTTAATATCAAACCACATTGGATAATAAATCCCAACAACATACTTAACTATGCCACTTAAATTACTAAAGTTTTGCCCGGACAGTCCATAAACTGAGACCCAGATTCGTGGCAGTTTATTTGCAGTAGTCAACCATCTGCTGTGATTCACAGGACCACACTCTATCTTCTTAAGATCTATAGGTAAGTTACCTGAACATATAGCTAAAATCATTTTATATCCATAGAGCTGATCAGTTGAAAGATCATCAATCATATCTTTACTTCAATTGGTCTTTTACCAATGGTTATTATTGGAAAATCTTGAGCAACTGGAAGTAATGTAGCACAACTTAATAATTTACCCACAACTCCACTGAATTTATTATTGGAAATTGTTTTTCCATCAAGATCTCGACTAAGATGTCTAAGAGGAAGCATACAAAGGAATTTGTATGCAGCATACATATAATCCAAGTTAACTTTTTTTTAAGAAGATCCTCTATTCTTTTTAAAGCCCCACCTAACCTACCTAACCTGTTAGTAGCTGTTAGTAACCTACCTAACCTACCGGTGTTAGTAGCTGTAGAATCTGCTCCAATATACAGTAAATATATATCAAATTTTTTACATTAATCTGCTATAGGTTTGGCTATTATTAATGCAGGTTTTTCTTCAAGACCAGGTTCAAGAGGAGAAAATTGTAATAAATATTTTCCTCCTGGTTTACTAGTGACAGTACAGAAGTCCATCTTTTGTTGTTAGACTATATTTTAATGTTGTTTTATCTTGTTCATTAATAAGAGTTAAATTTTTTTCCCATCAAAAAATAATGCTTTTATATCTTTTGACTGATACAGCATTAAATCATCCTTCTTAAATTTTTAAAAATAATTTTTTTCTTTTTTCTATGAATTTTGTGTTTGTCAATAACCAGTTTATTGTATATTTCATTAACTATTCCAAGATCTACAAGAACTGCAGAAGAAATAGCAGCAGCTTCTCTGTTACTTGTTCCATATCTCAAAACTGTTTGAGCAAGAAGATTTGTATTAATGAAAGAGCCTTTTATTTTATCATTGATTTTGACGTTAATAAATTGAATAAGTAATTTGCTTGTTTTATAAATAATATCTACATCAATTTCTTCATTCAAAAACAGGTTAATATTTAACTCTGTTTCCTTATTCTGCTCCTCATAAAATTTTTTAAACTCTACCTTTTGATGAGCACTCTCAACTGTTTTTTCTTTTCTTTTGTATTGTTTAGTAAGACGAGTATGTTCTTTTTTGTCTCTACAATGTATTTGGTAAGCAATTTTTATTCCAACTTTTATTCTTTGAGCTTTGATAAACTTTAGCTCTATTTCTGGAATTTTTAAACTTGCAGAACAGTTACAGATAGGAGAAATACCACAATGAGAACATTTAGAGTCAGAGCAAGTTGGATCTTCCTTGCATATAATAATGTGTTTGCAGCAAAGAATTTCAAATAGCATTTCAATTTCATTATGTAACTCATCTTTTATAGAATTTTTCACTCTTCCCCAAACAGTTTGAGTAACTCTTTTCCATTCTTTTTCAATTTTCTGAAATATATAGTGATATAGTGGCTGATTCTCTGAACTATAGTGATTAGGCTGAACTATATAGTGATTAGCCTGAATTTGAATATTGATATTCACTTTTTTATACTGTGCAACAACCTAAATCAAAAACATTAATATTAAATAGAGTATAACATAATTATAAAACAAATTGAAAAAAATACAATAATAGGAAAATAATAAACATAATAGAAAATACAATATTAGATTAAGCTAACCTTACAAGATGACCTTTTGGCAGCTTCGTGAATTATCTCTTTTGACACATAATGAAGATTGGTGTCTAAGTTCTTCATTTCAAACAGAAATAATTGCAAAACGTTTCTGAGGATTGGCAATTTAGAGGGTAACAAGTCAGAACCAAGACCAATGTCTTAGTGCTGTCTTTAAATTTTTTAATACCTGGACAAGAATTACTTAGTGTCCTTTTTATTTTATTCATAATTTTTAATAAGCTAGAAAAAATAAACTTGAAAAAATATTGGATTCCTTAAAACATATACAAAAACTATAAAGTTAATTCTTGTTAAACCTTTAGACTAAGGCTTATTCATTTATTTAAATAATAAAATTTAATGTTTTTAAAAATATTTATTTTAATATTTGATTTAACCTGCAAACAAATTTATATAAACAAAAAGAAAATTATTAATATGCTTATTCTTGGACTTATTTCTTGTTATCTCTGTCTTTATTTATTATTCTACCAGGTAAAATAAGTCTTTAAAATTTCCTCATAAAAATCAAGAAAAGGTTAAATATAACTTTAAAAGTAAAGATTGCATATTTAACATAAAGACAACTTTACAGACTTAAGAAAATCAGAGTATAAGGTTTTTTTTGTTTTATATGATTGTGCTTCATTATAATTAATATTTGAATATATAAATAATAAACTATATACAGTTAAAATAAAAGTTTAATTACACAAAAAAATGTTTTTAAGTGTAAAAAATAATACTAATTTAATTTACCCTGCATTCTTCAAGTCTGCAATTTATTTTTTATTTAATATTTGTGTTTAATCAGTTCCTGACTAAAAGTGGTAATTTTATTTAACTTTATTACTGTAAAATATTTCAAAATTTGTTTTGTGTCAAAATTTATTTTAAAGTTATGAAAAAAAAAAATTTTATAGTATATCTTAAAACCTCTTTAGACATCTGAAAAAAATATTTAAATATTCAATTTCAAATAAAAAAAATTTTCACTCACTCTAATATATATATATATATATATATATATATATATATATATATATATATATATATATATATATATATATATATATACATATATATATACATATATAAATATATACATATACATATATTTATACCAGGAGTGTGGAATCGTAAAAAAAAAGTAACGACTCCGACTCTAATTCCAACTCCGAGTCCAACTCCAAAGCAAAATTTTTGAAAAATTCTTTGAATTCTTAAAAAAATATTACGCGATAAGTTAAAAATTTCCTTTTTGACAAATTTATGAAACCTTCTTTGAGGTTTAGTATGAACAAAAGGTTAGTTGAATGTTTTGTACATGCACGTGCAATACTGAGAAGTTTTACTATTGGAGTCGTAGTTGCAATTTTGTTTAACGACTACGACTCCGCTAAAAATGACTCAACTCCGCAACTCTGACTCCGACTCCACAGCACTGATTTATACTTAT